TAAAGTGTGGTCGGCGAGGTAAGCCAAAGGTGGTGCATGCCAACAGGTTTTGGCATTATCACGGTTTAGGACATTTTAGTTGGGATGAAGTGAACAATGGAACAAAAGACACTGCTGAAGACGTGTCACCTGGAAAGGCCACTGTCGAAGAAGAAACTGTACTCGGATTTGAGAAAGGAAACAGTGAAGCACTTCATGAAGTTACTACCACTGATGTGATTATTACCGATAATAGGACAATTCCTGATGGAGCAGTTGAACCTCACGTGAAGCAGAAGCCAGAATGGAAGAAGATACGTCCCATGAAATTAAGAGACTTTGTTGAATTTAATTTTGTATTTGTAAATTATGTACATTTAATTAAGTTATTGTTAATTACCTATTGGTTTAATGTAAGTGGCTATTGTTCGGGACGAACAATACTAAGGAAAGGGCAGTGTTACGACAGCGGAATTCACGTGACGCTGGTAACAGCTAATGAGTATCTAGAACGTTCGTGAAGGCTCGAGTGTTTGCTAGACACCCTCTATTTTGTATATATAAGACCAGCGAGAAATGACGGCACGGATAGATAATTGAATAGCAGACAGGGAGATAGAGACAGATAATCGAGTCAAGCCATAAGTAAAGTGTGTAAATCGTTGTGAATTATAGCGTGTGTTTAAGTTAAAGAGACTGTGGAAATTTTGTGTATTGCAAAGTTGTATTGAGGAAGAATAAACTAGTTTTATTTAAGAAAGGGCTTGTATCGCTTAAGTTCCTCGGGAAGCATTTTTACGAGAAATTATCAAACGACCAGAGACGCAACAATATATTGCACATTTTATAGGGGTTGTTAGAAAGTAGAAAATGTGCAACTTGGAATGGACAAGTGTCATTTGATACAGCCAATTGGAGTTTAGGAATTTATTAAAATGTTTTGTGTTGAAATTAAGAAATTAAAACTTATGTAATATTAAAATTGAATTAGAATTTATTATTTAATGCTAAGTTTATTCATCTTCATTGAAACCAAAGTCTAATTAAACTTTTTCATATAAGTGTAAAATGTCGTGGCAAGTGCTCTTTGACCAACCCATGTCGAGAAGTAAGAGTCATTCTGTAGTCATACAATAGTTCAGTCCGATAAAGTGGAGTATCAGTGACCTCCCACAAGTGTTTAAATAGTGATTTAATGGTATTCTGAACCTATTATTTTTCATTTACTGAAATAGAGTATCACAGCAAATAATTTTCTCTACTGAACTTCATGAACAAGATACATAATAAAGAAGATTACATGGGAGAGAGAGAGACATGTATGCACAGTATGCCCAAGGAAGCAGAAATGCTAGCAAGGTTTCCGTTCCTGCAGCCAGTTTGTTGGTATGAACATGGAAGGAGATGCTAGGGGAGTTCTAGCACCATTCTAGACATCAGAGCTATCACCGAAACGCTGGTGCGGTTTTTGTGTCTGTGGGCATTACTATTGAGTATTGACATGAGTGGAGGAGTACAAGGGGGTGGCTTGCGAAGGCATGGGTGACGAAGGAGGTGCTACAATCCACGTACAGAACATTAATAAGTATGTGAGTGCCAAAAACACAAAAATCTCTGTGGACACCATTAAGTACCTAAACATTTTCATTGGAGGGATCCCTAGAGAAATCTAAAATTCCAACTCAAATGACTCCTGGCAAAGATATAACTGTTTAGTATTCTCTGATTAATTTCAGGGTGATATGTGCAGAAATCACGTGCTTTTTTGTTTCTGATAATTAATGTAGGAAAGGAGGAACAACAGAAACTAAAGGCTCTAGTGACAAAATCATCCAGGTAGAAAGATGCTAAATAATTTTTCTGTGCACATCTTGACAAGAACTACCATAAGACTGACCATGGAAGAAATTCCTCAGAATTCGAGAGAGAAAAAAAGGCATCTATAATCCATCAGACATTCTGAATGGAAATGCCAAATGGAAGAAATCAAACTAAGTTTTTGTCAATTGTGAAAACAGGGGATGGCACTGGGAGACTCAAATGATAGCTGTCTTTTTAAGCTAAAAAATACAACACACACTAATGCTCAAATGCCAACAAAGAGTTCAATATGTTTTCAAGGTTGTCATTGGACTGGTTATAAGAGTAGATGGTGAAATATCTGTGCCACTGCTAATAATAGCTGGAAGACAGACTTTACACAACAATGTCCCTGCTTCAGACACAAAGGAATATTTCAAACAATCAGTGTACATAGCACTTTTTCATTACATCACACCTGAACTGAAACATCAATTAATTGGGCCTGCAATGGACTTGATTCAAGCTTGGTATGTTATACAAATCCTTTACTGGACAGGGAGGGTCTCACCATAGAGTTTATGTTTGACAGATGAAGTGGGAGAATGCTGTACAGAATAACAGGCCAACTTCTATCATGGATGCCTTTGGGGAGAGTAACAATGATTTTTTTCTTAAATATCAGTGCCCTTCTGTAAATTCCTGCCACACTCCCTGTATCTACTGCCACAGCAGAGAGATCATTCTCCAGGCTGAGATGATTAAAATTGTACTTGTGGAATTCCACATCAGAAGGAAGGTCTTCAGACCTTGTGCTAATAAGCATCCATTGGAACATCCATATCCATTGTCAGTATATCATTTTCAGATTTGGAAAGAATCCACACAGATTTCAAAATGTGAGAGTCCTAAATATGTCAAGGTTATCAAAGATTTCCCATATGCAGATATGTCACTTCAGCACCCCTAATGAAGCTGAGCATTTTCAAATAATGGTATTAAACTGCCAGTCAAAAATGTAGACTGAAGACTAAACAACAAGTATTAGGTCGTCTAGAAATTAATGTCACTTTTTTTTAGATGAGAAAAACCGAACAATTTATATATCAAAACAAAACATTTATTAAATGAAATAGT